TTGCTATATCAACTTCAATTCGTATAATTTTTTCACCTTCAAACAATCCACTTTAATACATAGATAGGTAACTATAAAAGTTAGTTTTAAGAAACTATAATAGTATAATATTATATGTATAACCTTTTATTAATTCATTCCTTAATTTTATAATTAAAACAATATAGGAAATAGGAATCAATGAGTTTTGTCTAGAAAATTCGAAGTAAATAAAAAATGTAGACGCGCGACTGTCGATTTTCTAGGCAGTGTGAAAATTATATCTTCCACTATAGTAAGTTCATTGCCGATAATTAGGACGGACAAATCCTTTGAATACATAATATTCGAACAATTATATAGATACCTATATTATATTTTATTATTATTATGTCCCAATTTTTTTTCATTTTAAATATATGGGTAATAACTTTTATTAGCTTTTCTGTTTTTGACATGAACTTAAAATTAAGCACCTACACTTTTTAAATTTTATAATGCTTAATTAACTTTTACATACCTACTATTATTATACATATAGATGTGAGACTAAATATGCAAATTATGCCACAGAGAATAATACTGTAGTTATTAATTCTAAAAAAACAACCATTAAATCTTTATTTTTCACGATGTGAATTAACGCTATTTATAGTACATTCGACATACCTACTTAATATAATTATGAAGGCATTGAATACTTAATTACTATAATTAGTATTTACGTACAGTTTTTATCATAATAGAAATTATGAAAGTCTATAGTATCTGCCCTGTTATTCATCTTAGAATTTAAATTCATTTGAATGTCTATAATCTAATCAGATGTTGAGTCGTATTAAATTATAATAATTGCAGAATTTGTGAAAATCCTAAAAATGTTGTCCCGTAGTCGTACTGTTAAACTTTATACGAAATGCAATTCAATTCTGTAAATAGAATAATAGATACCTATGATGATTTGTGTTGTGTCAACGTATTATAAGTATATATAGGTAGTAAGTACAATATTATAAATAGGTAATACTCATAAATATTGTCATTTATGAATTGTGTAAGGTGTAACGTTCCTTATKGTTTAATGTTAATGTGATTTTAAATTTATGGATGACCTATACCTATAATAATATTATAGTAACAAGAATAACCTAATTGTCCTCATTATCATTAATACGTTTTATTTTATCGAAATCAATCTCGGGAAGTTGACGACGGGACAATGACATATTATTCAGTGATGAGAAATTGGCTAAAATATTAATGTACAACATGTTTATATACTATACATATTATGAAACAAGTGTAACAGGTAACAACGTCACTATGTAAGTCACTCACTATAGTCATTATACTCATTAGTTATCATGTATATTATGTTATTACTATTATTGTATACTTCCTGCGTATTCCTTAGTTCCTTACTATATATTGATGACGGTCGGTAAGGATGATGGACGGACGAACGGTGTAATAAATTCGGATGCGGATATCATTGAAACGCAAGTGATCTGCGTGTATTTATGACGTCCGCATTACGTGAAATAAACGACTACATAAAGTTATATGGTCACGTGACGGCCACCTGATGAATACAATATAAAATCGTCGTGAAGGCACGTGTGAACATCGACCGTACCTAGTATAGTATAGTCATACCTATATATTAGGACTGYAGCGCGCGAGTATATAATATCATCAAAATAATATACAATAAACAATAATAATATAACTGTACAATAGTATACCAACACGAATAATCGTTGTCTATATATGCGTGTGGACAGTCATTTTTATTTTTTATTTTCTTAACCCTATCGTTTGGTCTACGTCCRTCGACACAACCGTTTGTACTTGTCTGCTTATAAACGTTGCGTGCGCACATCACTTACACGTGCTCGGAATGAGAATACGTTTCGGAAACTATTTCGTTATTGCCGTCTTCYTGATCGTAGTTGACCGCGGTGCTCCCAACACCCGAATTTGGTTTTCGAATTGTCTCGTCGAGCAAATCCAAATTAGCCGTCAACACAAGTCTGTCGTGTCTAAGAATCCTTAGCTTTTCTTCGGCCTCTGCGATTGCACGACGCATTTCTTCGATGGCTCTGTTATCGATGTTATCGATCTTTACATTCGCCTTGAAAAACCTATATATAAGTATATACACTAAAGAGCATAACGTAAGTATAATTTCTCAAAACATTGATCGAAAATACTGCTGAAAAAAATAAAATACTCTAATAACCTTGACTCTGGACGATACCATATATAGAGGTACCTATGTTTCATATAAAACAAAAATAAATAAATATAGATAATAATTTACTCGATCGGATCTTTGGGCCTAGTTTCGTTTAACATCCTNAAACTTACAACCATTATAATATGAATATGAATAAAAAATATTATAATATTTTTGAAATTACCTRAATATGTGCGTTAACCGTTTTTGCAGTTTAAACCTGTCGTAACTTACCTGGTCGAATCAACGTTTAAATATTTTTCCATGTGACATCGAACGTCTGCTAAAATGAAAATTGAAGTTTTAATCATATTGGTGCTTTTGTTGATATAGTCACGTGTGAAATACTTACACGGATATACGTCATATTATATTATACGTCCTGCAGTGTATTGACAATGTGTAAGACATTTATGGTTCAGCTATACATGTTTCATAATGGAAAAAAACGGTGTGTAATTTTTTTATAAGTCATCATTGTAATAGACCTTGATAAAAATTTTTCGAACAAAGTGTGTCTTGTCCAGTCGTGTTATGCCCACCTATACGAACGTTCGTGCATTTATGTAGCCGCCCATCATGGTATATGCTGCGTATAAAACATAGGTTATATATATATATATATATATATAAATTAGAAAGATATATTATATAGATCGCCGGTAAATTTCAAATGGACGTAACACGAAATTGCGCAACGGTTTGTAAGGATAAAATATGATCTAATATTCTATCACTGCATAATGTGATAATAATAATTTATTTATAGCCAACGGTTCATCGCACGAGAACTCTGGAATTTAACTTTACGTTTTATTATCTGGCGGGCGCTTAAACGTCACGTGTCACGCAGACCACGTCGGTCGGGTCGGTGTCTGTATATAAACTAATCGCAGTCGTCCAATTATTGGTATCTCGTATCTGCAAAATATCACTAAGAGAAAGTCACCAATTTCTATATTCAATAAAAAAGTACATAATTTTTTTTATTTGAAATACAATTTGACTTTGTAAAGTGGTTTTAGATTTTACTATATAATGCGTTGGTTTCAACTTTTATTAATATTTGTTCAATATTATTAATGCAAATTCGTTGCCCTTACATCAAGACATACTATAAGTAGGTAGTGATGCTCATAAATCTGTAAATTGTTTACTTTTAAAATATAGAATACATTTATTCATTTTAATAACGTTATATAATGTTACTATATTAACTAATTTTTGAAAACTTATCACAAAAAGATTCTGTTGGAAATGAGAGTATTTTAATATTGCAGAGAACGGAGTACTATTTCTGTCTTATTTCAAACACGATTATAAATTGTTTTTTTTTTATTTATCGTACAGCTCGGAGTATAAATCAATTAGGTCGAAACTTTAAGACTTAAGTAGGTGTCTGAGATRAATTTGTAATATCTTATATTATATTATACTTTTATTTTAAAATAGGTATATTCAGTATTCACTACCTAGTAAACAGAACTACTACTGTCAGACTGAGATTATAAAAATTGTAATAACGAAAGTCCTATATTCGTTAACAACATTCTGTTCAACTGTTGTAATAACTTTATAACAAAAGAAAACTATTTTCGTGAAATCGTGAACACCAAAGCACTTATATAAAACACATTAATGATTTCAATTCATGCGTTAAATAAATCTTTGATAAGACACAGCACAAATCTGCAAATTAGATTGTCCTCAACACGATTCTGCATGAACTGTAATTATTATATTATAAAATATCACAAGAGACATTCGAATTGATGCATATACATATAATAATAATATATAASTGTGGCAAGTGTGCTACGTATATTATAACTTATAACCATAAATTGCTATATCAACTTCAATTCGTATAATTTTTTCACCTTCAAACAATCCACTTTAATACATAGATAGGTAACTATAAAAGTTAGTTTTAAGAAACTATAATAGTATAATATTATATGTATAACCTTTTATTAATTCATTCCTTAATTTTATAATTAAAACAATATAGGAAATAGGAATCAATGAGTTTTGTCTAGAAAATTCGAAGTAAATAAAAAATGTAGACGCGCGACTGTCGATTTTCTAGGCAGTGTGAAAATTATATCTTCCACTATAGTAAGTTCATTGCCGATAATTAGGACGGACAAATCCTTTGAATACATAATATTCGAACAATTATATAGATACCTATATTATATTTTATTATTATTATGTCCCAATTTTTTTTCATTTTAAATATATGGGTAATAACTTTTATTAGCTTTTCTGTTTTTGACATGAACTTAAAATTAAGCACCTACACTTTTTAAATTTTATAATGCTTAATTAACTTTTACATACCTACTATTATTATACATATAGATGTGAGACTAAATATGCAAATTATGCCACAGAGAATAATACTGTAGTTATTAATTCTAAAAAAACAACCATTAAATCTTTATTTTTCACGATGTGAATTAACGCTATTTATAGTACATTCGACATACCTACTTAATATAATTATGAAGGCATTGAATACTTAATTACTATAATTAGTATTTACGTACAGTTTTTATCATAATAGAAATTATGAAAGTCTATAGTATCTGCCCTGTTATTCATCTTAGAATTTAAATTCATTTGAATGTCTATAATCTAATCAGATGTTGAGTCGTATTAAATTATAATAATTGCAGAATTTGTGAAAATCCTAAAAAT